CCCCCCCCGCTATACTTACCTTTCGGTGAACAGTCCATCCCCTCTGACGGTACAGGTGTACTATTCATACTGATCCATAGCGCAGCCCTGTGCTATGGATTTTGAATTTTGCTCGCATAATGAGAGTGCTGCTTAGTCAGTGCGGTCACCTGATCAATAAGAAGCGTTCCCCCCCTCGACGGAGAAAGACTTTTCGCCAGAAAGTTATGTATAGCAAGGGTGGAGAAGGGGCCAGATTTGAGCAGCTAATTCCATTTTCCCGAATTCACTCGGGAAAGTGAACTTTCCCCTATAATACATCTGAGCCATAAGAAAAATGCAGGCTGCAAACTTGTGTCAGGCACTCTCAGCATCTCAAAGTACTGATGGAAGGACTGAGCCAAGAAACTAGCACTTGCCCCGCCACCCCCCTCCCCCCAAAAAAAGTCAAGAAAACACAGGCAAAACACAAACACAGAGACACAGCTCTCACTCATGTTAATGTATCAGAAGCCTCAGATCAGATCTGCAACTTCCAGTTCTCCCCAGGGTAGCATAAAATGTCACTCTTTCTGCATGGAGAATGTCTGCAAACATTTTTTTTGGGAGGGGGGGCTGGTTAAAGCTCCTTGCAGCAGAAACTCTGCAATCCAGACAGGGCAATAGAAAAGGAAGCCAAGAGCATTCCATGATAGATGCCTTCTATACGGTTTACTAGACTGAACACTGCATGCTGAGCTCATTTAGGTGCAGGCTGACAGTGATTTAGGTTTCATATATGAAAAAGGACAACCTGTGAGCCTGGTCTTTCTGAGGCACATCAGAGTCTTTATTCTCAGCACCATCAGGTAAACCGTTGGATGTAGTGGGGCTCGATAAGGACAGCTTAGGTTTGCTCAGTGGTCTTGGGGTGCCTGGACCATTTATGTTTGATCTATGAGAAAAAGAAAAAAACAAAAAACACAAAAACAAAAAGAGTTTTCAGTTATGCATCAACTAACAATGATGAATGCAGTGGTCAGAACACATGATGCACACACTCCTACCTAACAGACCTACAGATGGTCCTAAATTCAGCCACGTACCTGTCAGTGTAATTTTGGGAGTTGCCTGGAAACATTACTCCGTTCATCCGGTTCAGGCTTGGTGAATTGTTTTTCCTATGAAAGAATTATGGCATTTAGATATTGGTCATACAAGAGTATCTAGAACATGTCCAAGTGCAACAAACACGCAAAGATTAGCTCGGCCTCCAACATAATACCATACTATCTCTAGTATTATATTAAAGCAACAAAAGATGTTAAACTACTATCACATTCATAAACCCACAATTGCAGCACATTGTACTTACTCGGAAGAAGGGTACACACAGCTAACAACCATAATGTTCTGCAAGATAAAAAGGAGGTAAAACAGTCAGTCTAGTACACTGAGCGGGCATGTGAATATTGAGCTTGGCACGCATACAAAAAAGGGAAATAAAAAAGCAGATGTTCTTGAGGCAACTGGAAGTTTTTCTGCATTCTCTAAACTCCGGCCCTCCAGCTGTGGTGAAACTACAAATCCCACGATGCATCTCTCTCCGGGAGTCATGTCTGTGTCCTGCAATGCCTCATGGGATTTGTAGATCCCCCACAGCTGGGGGGCCAGAGTTTGGCTACCACTGTCCTAAATTGAACCAGCTGTTAGGTCAATTTGTCTATCATTCCCCTTGATTTGTCTATCATTCCCCTTGATAAGTACATTACCAGCACCACTAACTGACAAAGCAAAGTCAGCACTTTTGTCAATCAGCCGATGGGACATTTCTATAGAGATGATGAAAAGAAGGAACAGCAAAAAACCACACATGTAGTAAAGCTTCGGTGAATTAACTACTTAGTGGTGTGAAAATTAGGAAATGACATCGTACTTAAAATACCACACGTCATTCTTAAGTGAACATCGGGTTTTACATCATTTACATGCTAGCGAGTTCAAAACGAAATCAGTAGTCCCTGGAGAACACATACCACTTACGGAAAAAAAACCAGAATCAAAATGGCTCGATATAAGCAGCTTTTGTCTATCAGAAAAAGAAATACAGTAATACCTCGGTTCACGAACGCTTCTGTTTGCAAAAAATTCTGTTCGCGAACAGGAAGTTTGGCAAAATTTTGCCTGCGTTCGCAAACGGAGCACCGTGTAACGAACACGACCATCTTCCCCGCTCTGACGCGTGGTTGTGGCTTCCTCTAGTCAAGATTGTGGTCGCAGACAGACCTGTGCACACTTGCTGTGAAGCTTTATAGCGCATACAGTACTCTACAATATTATTTAATCCAGCATGGTGGGAAAAAGAAAGTACAGAGCGGTAATGAATTTACATATGGTTCAGAACGGATTAACCTCATTTACATAGAACCCTATGGGGAAATTTGCAACCAAAATAGGTTCGCAACCATGTGCGTAGGGATCAGAACAGACTAACCTTATCGGGAAATTTGATTCGGTTCGCGACCAGAATCGTGGAACCAATTAAATTCATGAACCAAGGTACCACTGTAAGAAAAGCAACTTCACAGTCTGAAAGCATATTGCAACGCTAAGATGAAACTTTAAGTCCCCATTTCACAAAGTGTCTATATTAGGAGAACATATACACTTACACATCTCAACTATTGCCCATTCCATTGAGAATTAATCATTGGGTGAAAGCCCTTCTGAAACCAACTTTGGTAGTATTGACCTATGTATCACCCACAGTGCTCATTGGTTTCTCCTGTCCAGCCCTACAGCCAAACAGAACACAGTACTAAGGTAAGGGTTAGTGGGTGGAACCATTGATCGCTTAGAGGAGCACAGGTGTTCGACCTGGAACTATTAGTTCATGCTGAAATGTCTTTCACAGAGCGGGGTTTGGCAGCGCAGGTGGCAGGAGAGGCAAGACATTTATTTATTACAGGTATTTATATAGCGCCGACAATTTACGCAGCGCTTTTACATAGTTGCACATTCACATCAGTCCCTGCCATCATGGAGCTTACAATCTAAGGTCCCTACATCACACACACATACAGGGCCAATTTAGACAGGAGCCAAATTTACCTTCCAGCTTGTCTTTGGAATATGAATGACAGACACCTCTTCATATCTGTAGCAAAGTCTTTCTAGGACTCAGCCCATATTAAGCCAGTCAGCAATAACTTATAAGAATGTTAAAATGAGACTATAGTGTGTTTTCTGCAAGCACACATTTACTGTTACTGGAAGGTTTACAGTCATTAACCATTGCTCTACCAGATTTCCATTCTTGTACTACACAATTTGTATTTGTAGATTTTCCTTCTATAAGCTGTGTGTATTACTCGGGACTCGCTGCTGAACAAATGCTGAAATAAAATACAGCACACAACATACATTGTTTTCAGTTAGAGGTGACTGGAAGACTTACAGTAAAGATCTGCAACCTCCAATGCATGGGAGAAAATCTGGGAGGCAAAACGTGATCTCCTGACCCCTTTCTACTGATCAATGTACTATGGTTTTGGTGTGACCAGCTACACATGGGTCTGCTGTACTTAAAAGAAGGATGCTGCTCGTCTCTAGACTACAACACAAATCTATAGAACTAAATATGATATATGCAAGGCTTGAAAAATCCGCTCGGCCTCACGTCTGACAAGAGAACGCCGAAGCCAAAACGAGGTGCTTCCTGGCCAGCCGTTGTAATGAAACGGCCAGCCGGGAGCTTTATATTCAAGCGATCGGACGTCTCCAGGAGACGCCCGATCGCTTGTATTAGCAGCAGCTGTCACTGCCATTGCTGTTCCTGAGATCCGCTGTGCCCGGTGCGGCTGGGATTGGCAACGGCTGCTCTGTGGCAAGAGATCAAAGGGAGTTCGGTACACAGTCTCCCTCTAATCTCCTCTCCAGTCCCCAAATGCAGGAAGTGATGTATATTACATCACTTCCACATTCTGCTGTCACTCTCCAGCTTCAAAAGCTGGGGAGAAGCTGAGGAAGCAGATCTCTGCTTCATCAGCTTCTCTGGGTATCCCTAGGTGACATTAGGGGTCTTGGAGACCCCTGATGTCTCCATAAAGAGGACCTGTCATGTAAATTGGCTATCACATAGGGGGCTTCTTAGTCCCCCATGTGATAACTTTATTGCCAAGTGTTAAAAAATAAAAAAAGGGTAATAAAAATTAAATCATAAAACAAATCCCCCCAAAATATATATTTTTCTTTAAGTCCCCCACCCGTCGGGTACACCTGCGTGCAAAAATGACGATTGCCTTTATTGTGCTGCACATGTTACATAACACCGTGAATATCTGAGTGCAATCATTTTAGGGTCATTAATCACTGATAATACTAAACTGATGAGCAGTTAAAGCGTTTAAAAGTGTTGCCTATGGGAAATTTGTGGTTGTTTTTTGCGATTTTGCGGGCAGGCGCAATTTTAAGGCTTGACATGACATGTTTGGTGTCTATTTACCTGACGTGACCCCGTCTTTTATATTTTAACAAAAAATATGGGTAAGAATAAATGTTTAACATAATATAGGGAAAACATTTTTTTCCTCTTGAAATTTACGGTACGTTTTTCATTATATAGTATTAAAAAAGTGGTGATTATATACCAACTAAAGAAAGCTCTATCTGTCCCTAAAAAAGGTTATCATAAATTGCAAGGCTATAGTCCGGTCATGCTGACTGGTGAGACACCCTAACATGTTTCAAGTCCTGGTTATATGAATTGTTTATGCACACTGACATTATCTGGTCACTTATACACACACACCAATTATAAATGTAACCTTTAATTTACCTTTTCCACTCCTCTAAGAAACTTTTCCGTGCCAGTGTAATTCCTCCGGGGGTCAGTGACGAGCTCGCAGAGTCGCTGAATAGTGAATGGTGTCCTAGACAGAATGGATACAGATATAATAAGTATGTATTTGTAGCAGAAGCTCCTAAATATTCTATAGGTTAAAATGGGTCTGAGCCCCATGTTTATACTGCCAAGCCGACACACAGAACATGGCTGAAAAGCATTTTATCAAGCTATGAAATGACAATAAAAGCCAACATGTAATAGTGAAGAAATGTCATGTTACACTAGATTAGTTCAATTTAAAGCCCAAATTACAATCTTGTTTGCCCTCCACCTACTGCAGCAAACCCACAACCCAATAACAAAAAATCTGTATACATTTCTTTTTTGCAGTTGTCTTCGTCTGGTTTTATGAAGTCACGGGCCCTGTTCACCACCTTCTTCCTCCAGCGTTGGGAAGATCCTAAATGCTGCCGAGCAGTGCCATGTAATAATGTGGCCCCGCTCTATACAGAAATCTCCTGTAAGTGAAGTCCGGGGCTGGCCCTTGACAACCTGGGCTCACAAGAGAAGGTTGAATGACATAGGGTATCATTCAACCTGGAAGATGAATGGTGCAAGGTCACTGGATCAATGAGCCTTGCAGGACAGCGCTGGAGATCAGGCGAGTACTGCAGTGGGGGCTGGAATTTACATTTTTGCCCAAGCTGGATTTGGTAATTTGTTGTGTTTTGGGGCATTTAATTAAATTTGTCACTAAATTTTGGGGTTTAATAAGGAGTTGCGCTAATATTGCGCAACATAAAAATTTTCAACTACCACCATTTTATTCTATAGGGTCTTGGCATTCAGAAAATATATAATGTTGGGGGGTTTTACGTCATTTTCAGGCCTAAAATGTGGAATATAACATGGGTGCAAAAATGGAAAAAAAGGGCCTCAGTCATGAAGGGGTTAATAACACACTGAATAAAAGGCCATTTACAGCAGCCACTACCTACCTACAGATGCTTTTCTTTAGTTAGGCATCCAGTCATCTTATGATCGTGTCCTCACTGCAAGAAGGCTGCTTTACCCTAAAGACTCTTATGCTCCAATTATTAGTCTGGAGAGTTAAAACTAACCTTGCATGCCAATACCAGAAAATGTAATGCAACATTCCTAGAGCTGCAGACAGGAGACCGCCATCTACAAATTTGGTCATCAGCAATGTTCCGGCACTACCTTTCAATTTCGGCAGTCCGTCAGCTGCTCCATTTATCAGCCTAAACTAAAATTTCAGATGCTGAGCAGAAATGTGAAGGGTTACAGGGCATTGGATATGACAGACACTGTCAATGAATACATCTAAAAATGTATAGGCTGTGAACATAATTTCACCTTCCCAAGCCTGACTGTCAGGGTGCGCAGCTCATCGTTCATCATACTCACCAGTCCCAACAAGAAAGGAAAGAATTTAGACACCACGGAAGTCAATGCCCAGGGGTTTATTGCGACAGGTGAACCAGTGCCAAAGGGGCCTCTACCTCTGACATTTTCACTCCATAAAGAGGTTTAGGTGGGAGGAGACAGTTGTCATCCCCAAGTTGCAAAACACCAGTACCAAAAGCTAAAATGATTCTGTGCTTTGCCCAAGTAGGGAAAAGTGACAGGTCCATTTAAATGCCACTCTCTCTAGGTGCATATACTCACTTTCTAGGGCTGCAACTACAATTATTATTTTTCATAATCAATTAAATTGGACGATTCTTTCAATTAAATCGATCAGATAAAAAAAAAAGAATACCATCCTTAAATTTAAAATAAAAATACAAACGCAGTGCTACAAAGTTTACTTGAAATTAATGGCACTGCAACACACCTCCGGCAGCAGAATTTGTCAGGCCAAAACTGAAAATTAATTTTTACCCCCCCCCCATCTTTTTTTGTTATCATTGTATTGTAAGGACATGGTGCTTGAATAGCTTCAGCCCAGGAATGACGGCTGCCAGTGGCAAGATTCCACAGATGTCAACTGAAAGTAAATACAGCAGGTAGTGGGCGGGTGCAATAGCCTGCCTGTTATTGGCCATTTCAATTTGCTACAGCCAATAGCAGGCTGGCTATTGCACCCGCCCACTGCTTGCTGTGCCCTCCTCCCAGCGTGGAGTAGAGATCTAGGGCATCCAACTAATCGATGAGAATAGTTGACAACTATTCTCATAATCGATTAGTTGGTTGTAGCCCTATCACATTCCTGCTCAAATACCCAGAGCTATAACGTGGGCATGTGGAGAAAGTCCTAAGTAGAAGTATAAGCCAATCGGATCAAGCACCTATAGTTCGTCATCACCTAGTGTGTTATCCCCTAGTGGGAGTGTGAACAGGAGAGGACCTGGACGGTCTACAATGCTCCCCGCCCACGGATACTCTGAGTGGCTACACCGTCCAGGTCCTCTCCTGTTCACACTCCCACCAGGGGATGACACACTAGGTGATGACGAACTATAGGTGCTTGTTCCGATTGGCTGTCCTCTATAATTTATTCCATGGAGATGAGGGGGAGGTTAGGTTCTGACGAAGGGGGCGTGACCCCGGAAACGAGTCAACGCAGGCAGTCTTTGCTGCCACACAGGAACGTCTGTTCAGCTCTCACTTGCCTCATCCTGGTTTATTGTATGAGTTACATCCTCCACCTTCTAAGGCTCATGTTCATATACTCTTGTGAGTACTATTTCTATTGTTTGTATCTGCACTAAGGAAGGACACCCTGTTTGTGCTTTTCTTTCAGATACCATAGTCTCCCTGGTTGAAGTGGGGCAGCGACCTGTAACATGATCATTTGTTAACCCTTCGGAGGAGTGGTGGTTCCTGGCGCTTTCTATGTTCACATGTTCTATACTTCAACTCTGTATAATCTCCAAACACAACTTTCATCTTACATGGAGCTTATTCTCTCTGCTCCTGTCACATGCACGGACCAACAGGGGAAAGAAAGGAAGCATAGCCAGAAGTTAGATGAATGTTCCTGTCCGACATGCGGACAGATTTCAGAGACGTTAAACCCTATGTGACAGATTTGAGGCCCACTATAGTGAAAATTTATCAAAACTGGAGCAGTTGCCTATTGCAACCAATCAGCTTCTATCTATATTAGCTTTCAATGCTTAACTGAACTCAAAGAAGCAGATTGGTTACCACGGGCAACTGCTGGAGATGTCTGCTGCAATTTGCCTAAAATAACCCCCCATTGTGTGCTGGTAACTGAATGCTAGAAATAGATATTAACCCCATACAGCGTGTCAATTCCTGTTTGTATTTTATTTCACAATATATTTTTTTTTAGACATTTACTTTATTTTTCTCCACATTGACACACAGAGGAAGGTGTCCAGAAAAAGTAACAGGGGTCGTGAGAGACCATACAACACTGCCAGGGGTGCTTGCAATAGTCCGCCTTCAGAGTTTTTGAACCGTATGAAGGTTGGCCTTTGTAAGCAAAAAAATAAAAATTTAGACATCTGGGTCCTTTATAATGCCATCCGAGGACTAGAATTCCAATTACCTTCCTTATAACGTGAAACTACTCCACGCTGACAAAGGGGGGAAATGAAATGCTGCCCAGCTCAAAACTGTGTCACCTAAAACGCCGGAATCAATGCAAATAGAAGAGAGCGGAGTTTCTGGCTGGAGGCTCAAACGCTTCGGCCCAACCGTAAATCCTTAAAACAGCTGCGATGGGTTTCAGCAGGGATAAAGCATCTCGCGCTGAGCAGATCAATCTCGTGCAATAGTCAAAGCACGGCTGTCAGAGACAAATCTCTCCGGCCAGCGCGATCCAAGTTTTCGGATGCTTACCTAAACACAGATGAGCTACAGAATACGGACTTGCTGATTGCCATGCATATGGGCAAGTGGGCCCAGATGAAGTCACTGGACAAGTCTGTACCAGGCCAATCACGTATAAATACTTATAGTTCTTTTGAAAAACAAAAAGTTTTGATGTGCAAAACTTAAATTTGGTTTGTATACCCGCTCATTCACTTTGTACTGAGAACTTACCCATTAAAGGCAGTGACAATCTTGAGTATTCGGTCCTTCATTTCATCAAAGGGGATATATTCCACATTTGGATTGGGAGGTCCTCTGGGCTCTGGAGCAGATGTCCGGAAATCATCCATAACCTTCTCTAGCTTAAACATGAAGTAATCCTTAAACTGGGGCCACTGGACGCTGGAACAAAACACAAGTTTTGTGAATGGGTTAGATTAGGACCAGAGCAAATTCATTATTGCACACACACCGCAAAAATCGGATTTTTTTGGATAGAAAATTACGCTAAAGTTCCAAAAAAGAGTTTACTTCCAGAAAGCAGAGGCCCTGTACAATATTTTTTGTTGCACAAAAATTGGGCAAATGTATCAAATCAATATTTTTAGGAAAAAATAAAGCCAAAATTAATTTTAGTGCACACAAATATAAAACCCAATTTTTTGTTAAAATATAAAAAAAGTTGGGGGTCACGTAGAGCAAATAGATACCAAAACATGTCAAGCCTTAAAAATGAGCATGCCCGTGCAATGGTGGAAAATTCTGGTGCTCAAAAATGTCCATAGGCGATGTTTTAAAAGTCTTTACTGCTCATCAGTTTAGAATTCACAGTGAATAATGGCCATAGAACTACTGTTCTCACTCTGACATTTGTGGCAATACCAAACGTGTGGCGCAATAGTGGTTTGCGTACACATGCATGTCCTATGCAATCGCATGCAGATGGTGCTTTTAATTTTTTTATGCTAAGATTGTTTACTTTAATGCTGATTTTTTTCCACCTAACTTTGCTAGAACAAAAACAAAGCGGCTAACAAGCTGGCACAATCGCAGGCTGGTACAAGTGATGGCGCAGCTGTACAGTTTCTCAGATCAGTTGTACTGTTACCAAGAGGGGATGTCTGTATGGCAAATGAAGACGGAGATCGCCCTGCTGTTTTGTGCAAAAGTTGAAAGTGGGTTAAAGAGTTGCTGGGAAAAGCAGAAAGGGAGAAGTTGTCATTCAAACCTTCCACCTCTCCCCACCGCATTGGAAGCCACATAGCTAGATACATCAGGTTCAGTCCCCTTCCAGAGATCTTCACTGTGAGGACCTGCCTTGTTCCACACAGTCCTGTCACCTGCGTATTCCAGGGACGCACCCACGCATAGTGAAGATCTCATCACTAAAGAAAGCGGTTCTTCAATTGAACTCATCAGGATCTTACAGAAAACAAACTAAGCAGAGTATGACACTGCAGGTATGTTCAGTTTTTAATCAACTCCTAGTGCTCACACTAAACGCAGGGTCTTGACTCTCGGACTGATTATGCGGGTCCAACCTACATTTGTTCCCACGTCTGTTACATCCTCTATAATATATAAAAACAAAATAATTACGTAGAAGCGGTATCACCACATATTAGACGGCAGGCATACAGATCTGAGTACTTCGGAGACCTCGCTAGCCATGCAAATCTCACTACTCATGCACTAATTCTTACTTAACCGAGTAAAAGCCAAATTGAACTTTCCCTTTAAGTCAGCTGCATTCCACCAACATCAACAAAAGCTATTGAACATCTTACAGTTCATTCTTTTGTAAAGCAGCTACAGCCTCGGCAGAAAAGCCTGATCCCTGCCAGCAGCTCTTCACGGGGAAGCCATGATCCCTTGGCAGATGTCCATCACACCCTCTGCCGAGTCAAAACCAGGAGGTTCCAAATCAGCAAGTAGTATAAACTTTGCTCATTGTACAGTTATAGCTGACTCGGGGGGGAACCTCTGCAGAGAGGTTACTGCTTCCATGCAGAGAGCAAGCGTCCCACTCTGCAGCTGCTGGCAGGGGACAGGCTTTCCTTCTGCTGTAGCTGCTCAAAGCTGGCCATACACCTATAGGACAAGGCTTGACAAATTTTAGGGTGTTTCACCAGTCAAAAATGTCACCAGTCAACATGACCGGACTATAGCCTTGCAATGTTAACATTTTTAGGGACACAGCTTTCTTTTGGAGGTATATAAAAATCACCACTGGGGTAGGGGGTTATTTTTTTTTTCACTATATAATGAAAAAAGTACCATAAATTTCAGGGGGAAAAAATGCTTTCCCTATGTTACAAAACATTTATTCTTACCCATATTTTTGGTAAAATATAAAAGATAGGGTCATGTCGGGTAAATAGACACCAGACATGTCAAGTTTTAAAATTGTGTGTGCCCGCAAATAACGACCACACCAAAAATTGGCCATAGGCGACGCTTTAAATGCTTTTACTGCTCATCAGTTTAGTGTCATCAGTGATTAATAACCCTAAAATTATTGCTCTCACGCCGACGTTTGCGGTGATGTGTGACACAATAGGTGCAATCGGCGTTTCCGCATGTAGGCGCACCCAACGCATGTTTGCTTGTGTATGTGGGGGGCGGGGGACTTAAGAAATTGTTTTTTTATGATTCTTGCAATTTTATTCTTTTATATATATTTTTTTTTACACGTAACTTTATTGCTATCACATGGGGGGGCTAAGAAGCCCCCTATGTGATAGCCAATTTACATGACAGGTCCTCTTTATGGAGACATCTGGGGTCTCCAAGACCCGTCACTTAGGGATCCCCAAAGAAGCTGATGAAGCAGAGATTTGCTTCCCCAGCTTCTGAAGCGCAACAGAGAAATGCAGGAAGTGATGTAATATACATCACTTCCTGCATTCGGGACCGGAAAGGAGATTAGAGGGAATTAGTGTACCGATCTCCCTTTGATACAAGCGATCGGGAGTCTCTAGATCGGGCTTCCGGCCGGCCGTTTAATTACAGCAGCTGACCGGGAAGCTACTCATCCGGCTCCGGCGTCCTCACAGACGAGCTAATTTTTCAAGCCCTGCCTATAGGTGTATGGCCAGCCTTAGATAGAAAACCAAGACACTGAACACCTTTAGTATTGATGCACCTGGAATGTATTTAAAGAACTATGGGGTCAGTGCTTTTCCCCATAGTTCTCCTAAGGGTAACGGGAGGATACAAACTAGCGTCCTCCCATCACCCAAAGCTCAGTATACCGCGAGCTACAGCTCACGGTATGGATCCACCCAGCTGCGTGAGTGACAACTGGCTCTGCCTATCTAGAGGCAGAGCCAGCTGTACCCGCCCCCTCCCTCGTCCGTTCCGCCAGTCAGCACTGGAGTATCGGGGAGGGGAGGGGGGAATCCCTGCAGGGAGCCGTGCGTGACAGTCATGGTTCTCTGCAGGGATAGATCGAGAAGTGAGCGAGCAACGGTATGCGTTCGCTCACTTCCCGATCTACTGAGCCGACCTGTGACAGTTTCATGGTCACAGTTCGGCTCAGATTATGAGGCTGAGTGAAAAATCACTCGCCTCATAATTCTCCTTTAAGCGATTTAAACCAAAAATTCAATCAGGGCTTCTTAGTGTTCCAACATTACAGATGGAGAATCTAATTTGCTTGTCTGACCGTCTTTCTAGGTCTGTGGACAGCCTTCTTCAGATGTTAAGCCAAAGCTAAAGAGCATATAAAAAAGCAATGTCGTCAGTGAGCTTGTATGCGTCAATATTTACTTGGAGTAGATCGGCTCGGCTAAAAAGGAAAATTCAGGACATTTGTAAGCTCTGCAAAACCTCCCCAGCGCCCTGCTAGCTGAACTCCAGCACTCATAGCAGGAGACATTGTAGTGAGGCAATTCCTGGACGCGATCCAAGGCAGTACGTTTTCCAAAACATTTCACTACGCGACAACATCCACGGCTCAGTCAACGGCTAGGATTCCAAGCCGCGCTGCGAGCCAATAGTCACCACACCAAATACAGGAACAGCTGCACATCTATGGAACATTTCCATTCACATTCTGTCAATCCTTCACTTCGTTCTCAGGTTATGTCTGAAGTTTAAGGCTCAACTTAGTTTAGTATACTACTTTTAAAAATATTCAAAAAGTTATAGGGCTCCTGATCTTCACTGGGCACAGATTCTGCGTTCTGGAAACTAAAAGTGTTTTACAATAAACCGCCTTTGCTTTGAGAACAAATGAGGACAAGTGGGACAAGTTGGCAGAGCAGCGACTTTACACAATCGCTGAAGACGACTGGTAAGTATCCTATATTTATTCTGCGACTGCCAATGGGGTTAGCTAACAGAAGGAAGACAATTAAAACACAAGTTGGCTTCTGCAAGAGAGCCAATCACATACTCATGACATTTCAAACAAATGCGTCCAAAACAGCCAAGAAAGTCATGTTCATGAAGGAGGCAATGTGATGCCTTCAGATTTCTATAAACACTTGTACAATAAAAAGTTATATATATTTAAAGAGACACAAAACTCCGGAGTTACATCTTGGAAATGCATTCAAGTATCTTAACTATTAACAACAATGTATCTTATTTGTGTATCACTCGGCTGTAGATCCTCCAATCATCTCTGAATTGGTGCTGACACTGTCCTTCCTTCTTGAGGGGGGCTACTTTTGTTCCCCATGGCCCGTGTGTGTGTAAAGTAGTCACCGCTCCCAGCTCGCTCCGGTGATGGACTACAATCTAATGTTTAGTTTACTAATTTGCATTGAGATTGTAGCCGTCCTGAGAGCGAGCCTTTATGAATGTACTTATTAACACCAAGTGAGCATTTACATCAATATTTATGAATGCAGTAGATAGGATCAGCCACATCTAGATCATGGCCCCACTTAGGTATTGCAGGGACTAAGGCTTCATTCACACACGGCGTTTGCCGCCCGGCACGAAAACGTACAAACGGTAACTTCCACGTGTCTGCACAAACACATGGGATCCACCCATAAAAATCACGCTAGTACTGTTTTGAGGGACGCACGTTTTTTGCACCGCACAGGCGCCACCCTAGTGTGAACAATGGACATTGAAATGCAGCTTTTAACGTTTAGCGCATTTCCACGCGAAACCCACACGCGTGTGATTGGAGCCTTACATAGGTGAAAGCTGCAGTTGATGAATCATCTAAAAATGCTCTATTAAAAAAAAGGAGAACTATGGGGTTAGGGCTTTTCCCCATAGTTCTCCTAAGGGTCATGGGAGAACACAAACTAGCGTCCTCCTGTGACCCAAAGCTCAGTATATAGCGAGCTACAGCTCACGGTATACTGAGACGCCGCAGCTGGATCCCGACAATGCTGTCTGGATCCACCCAGCTGCGGGATTGAAAGCTGGCTCTGCCT